TGTATTTTTGTGGGTTACTTCCTGGCTGACTTTAACTGGCACATTGGATCATTTTCATGGTAAGTGCCTCTTTTACTTGCTGTGAAGTTTATGAATAGAATGCTAATATGGCCTTCCAAATATCATTTAGCTTCATTCTGTTCACTGCTGTGATAACCACGGCGACCACTCTCACAATTTGGGCCACGCAAGATACAGTGATCGTCAGGAAAGGTGAACAGTTGGAGTTATCGTGTCATGTCAGATTTGAGGCTAGTGAAATAATACAAGTAGCTCAATGGTACAGAAAGCCGAATTTGAACAACACCTATGCTGATATAGATATTCAAAACGGTTGTGGAAAAAGGGCCCATATCGATTGTCCTATTGTAAATACCCTGGACAATCGTGGGACCATGCGATTTGAAAGATGTACCAGTGGAGAGGCTAGACTGAAGCTAAGAATTGATGAAAGCTCGTTGGTGGACGGCGCCGATTTCATTTGTGCTGTGTTGGTAAGTGTGAGTGGCAGTGAGTTTCACCGTAGTGCCACCGTATCTGTGACAGTTAACTATCTCCCCGATAAAACCTACCCAACGTGCAACGGTAAACTTTCTGAAGCCACAAGGCAACACTCTGCATTGAAGTGCATCTCGGACAAAGGTCAGCCAGTGGTCATTCTGGAGTGGACAGTCATGATCAATTCAACCAGGGTGTCACTCTCCAACGTCACAGTCGTCGTTGGGAATCAAGTTCAGAACACTCTGCATCTCAACACACTGGAAAGTTCGTATCACAACTCAATCTTCACCTGTCGCCTACGAAGTCCAGCCTATCCTCGTGTCGACAGAAAGTGCTCTTTGAGACCAATCTTCGCCCCAGGAAATCCAACGGCCGAAGGCATGGAAGGAACCCAAACTTCGAGAGCCACATCCTCACAGATATCTACCGAACCACACACGAGCTTCCCTTTACATGTATCAACTACTCCCCACTTTCTCAGGACAAGACCCTCCCCTGATGAGAACAACCCCGTTCTTACCGCAGGAATTTCATTGGCTGCTGGTGTTACCATCCTTATTATAGTCGTCATCTTGTGTCTGGTACAATGGAAGAGGAGACAACGCAGACTGGATCCATTCTGAAGGTCGCACATGAAGCGTGCATATGAATATTGTCTTGTGTTCAGGAGCAGTGGCGCAGCTAAAAGGAGCGCACAATCGCTGAGTGTAACAGGCAAGAGAATTTTAGAGTAACGTTTTGGACAGACGATGGATTAAAATGCCTAATTGGAACGGTTAAAATAATCCTAAATGTATAATCTTGATGTTGACATAGAGGATAGAGACAATGGAGATTGCGTTGCAAAATATTTCTTAGATATGTCTTCTTAGCAGATTTGTTTTGAGTTAAATTATATCTGGATCAATGTTATATTTTGCTCAAGAACTGGCAGTCTTGCATTGTGTGCTGGCTTTCTGCTAATCGACTAGATTATCATTACAGCTTATCTAAAGTGTGCGTATCTGACTACATCCTCGTTATAAATACACAATAGACTTGCCCTGCAACCAAATATCTCCCCACAAAAGTTTTCACATCGCTCAGGATATCTTAACGTTGGACCAATCACGTCGGACACTGACCTATAAAAAGATATGTACATGTAATTGTTATGGTTGATAGGTAATCAAGAATTTTCTGCATATGTGGTAGAAGTTAAGTGGATTTAATGGTAGCTCCGTAAACAAGTCTTCCTTGAAATATTACTTGGAATTAATATATTTAATTCAGGCCAAAAACATTGTCATTATGGGAAGTCTTTACTCAAGTTATAAAAGAGAGCCAAGTAAAATTGCACTAAAAACATATTTTGTAGAGGTCAAACTCCATCCAGTTGGTTTCTTTTTGGTGTTAAGATACTGTTGCCGATGATCGTGTGTGCAGTCATATCCTTGTGTGCTTTGTATCACTTCAATGCCGTCTGGTTCACCAGAGGGAGTGGGAAAAACGTTTTGCATATCAACATGACGTCATTAATTACGGCAAGAAAGCTCTACGTAGTTGAGTCTGTCACAAGTTCTTTCACAAAGTCCAGTCGAAGGTCCAGTCACATGCCTCATCACAAACAACTAGGTTGAACAATGACCAAGGAATGTCCTTATAGCTGTGGAATGAGCCCCGAGCTGGACCAAGAGAGGGCGCAATTTTCTTAGCAATGGACGCTCGTTTGATCGGAACTGTACATACTTCGCTGGTTTAGGAACCATTATGCAATTCACGCGTTATGGTCGCTAACAGCAAAATGAACAATCACGACTAGCCTGGCCCTCTTCAACCGATGATGGGGTGCTTCTGCTCAAGGCGGATAGCGTGTGGCCCGGCTTGACGGGATTGTGATGGACCCGATTGCGCGGATTTGTAAGGACTTGCCGTGGACTCTTATACAGCCCTATAATAGTTATAAAGGGGTATAGTTACGCAACCTTATTATCTTCTTATGCTATGGCATAATGTACCCCACCAGTTCATTCTTTGATGGCCATAATCAGGATCAGAGGCGCGAGTTGACATCACTTGCTCCATTGTGTTAGGGGGTCCAAGCAAAGCTGCTGACATTTAGAGAAAAGAATTCTTCTTTTGATAAAATTGCATCATACAAATACTCTGCATGCTACTCCCCTTCTGGAATACGCTAACCTAACATATCTAGTGTGGACTTGTGAACAAAAGATGTCCATACGATGCTGGAAGGGAAGACGTTCCGTGGACTTACACATCCATGTCCACACGCAAGACGTTTCCCCTTCTCTGAAAAAGAAGTTGAGAGGCATTTTGGGGTAAGGGTTATTTGTCGTAAAAAGAAGAGGAATCCAGCTGAAAATCGCATTCCCAGTTCACAAAAAAATGAGTATTTTCACCGAGTTTCTCGACTGTACGAAATCAAAGAAATGTCCACACTAGGTATGTAACCTAAATATTTGTGTGGGGGGGCGGAATTTGCCCCTCTAACTAGCTCACGATAACTCAAGCCCCCTCCCCACCATGCTCTAAAGGAGGCTTGGATGTATAGCTATATTAGATCTAGTACTGCAAGATGCAGGTGTGTATTGAGACAGTTAAAATCCTTAGAGGGGATCCAGACGTCTAGTCCCTCCCCCCGTGCGCCACTTACGGACTGGAAATCACCAACACTGGTTTACTGCAACGTAAAGGCTTTGCGTGGCCGCCATCTTCCAGCGCAGTTCTTGTGTTCCATACGGAGACCTCCTTTGTGCATACCCCATGGCCTGTGAAACAAAGCCTTGGCCTACAAGATGGCAGGCATGCAAACCCTCTATACTAAATTCGGGCAGTCTGAAAACGCGCCACGTGGCGTGTGTGTACATGTAGCCTATGCGTTTCACATCACGTCTTTTACACGTTACACTGGTGTTTTGTTCACGAAGGGGAGTATACCACACAGGAAACAACAAGGGGCGTTTCCTTGTCTTTATTGGCTGATCATTGTCCTTAATGGTTAGTCCCGTGGTTTGCCTGAGGCAGAGTGATATCTTGTGATAACAAAACGAAGGGTATACCACACACCACCACTGCAAATGCCATTTGGGGGGTCAGTATTATGTGAATTACGGACTTAATCTCCGGCCCCACACGGATCAAGCTCAAACCAGCACTAATTGACAAAGGCAAAGTCTTATTTCAGCATTTTGGAGCGGCTTTAAATTATTAGTCATATTGAAAAGAAACCAGACACACAATACATAAGAGAATTATACATGGAACCCATTCTGTGAGAAGCGTGCAAATCAAATAGACCGGCTGCGTAAACAAAACCAGGAAGTGGTATGGGCAGTGTATTGGATCACAAAAATATCGATCGAATCTGTTATTGTTACTGCATTCTCGTTGTTTCAGAAGTAAACAGTCTTCCTCTGAATCTAAAGTGAAAGCACTTCAAGCTAAGTTATTGTATACGCCTACAATTACATGTATCAGAATCCTTCGAGTTAATTTTTCCCTCATAAATTAGCTTGTTGTTCACAAAGCTCACGAAGAATGAGGAAGACCTTAGCAGAAGGCTCACGGGTTCCCCATCCGTGCGCGGTCAAGCCACTTTCTAGTATTTCCTCGTGAACCTGCGCAAACAGAACCTCCTGTAGGCCTATCCTTAATTGCCCTGTTACTTCTGAAGGGAATATAAAACAAACATTTAAATATTATAATTTAATAAAGGGAAAGTGATTTATCACTGGAGAAGATTAAGTACTGTAGACAACAGTAAGGATATTCCTCTTTGCCAGAACCAGAAAAATTAGCATTTCCCCTTCGTTTATCGTAGTTTGTGTCTCTGTTGGTCCAAAGTTATGCATCATCAGCGTTAAGAATTTCCTGCTGATGTCTCTTTTTGTCCAAAAAATCAGCTAAAATGTGTTGACAGGGTCGTCATGTCGGCATTTGTTGCTTACTTTAAGGTTACACGTTTTCCGGAAGTGTACTCCGAAGAATGTAGGCAGCTGGCAAACTCAGCGTATGCGATGTTACATTGTGGAGTTCTTAGTCGTCCACTTTCAAGGGTACACCTTTGTGACAAGGTCAAACATTACACGGCGACACCAAAAGCAATCAGTTAAGATGTAAGGTACTAATCCCTACAACCTCATTGAGCACTGCCATAATGCCTTCAGTCAGTAAGGACATGCATCACTTTGTTTCCAGTCTATTTAAGGGGTGTTTTTGGTCGTCTAGGTCTTTTCTGCTGTGAAAGAGTGGATATACATACATTGCTTTCTTCATGGAAGAAGTGGGCAGTGAAATGTAATCTGTGTTTAAATTATGCCAGCCCGGTTCGGATACGAAATAAGGAAGTGATTCTTTAATGTGATTCTATCACATTATTATGGTTTAAAAATCTATCCCATCATTATGGTTCCTGTATGAGTCATCCTTTTATAACAGTTAGGCCTACAGATTATTTTCCGCAATGTGAAAGTATTTAAAAACTTGTTTCGTTTCAAAGACAACGCAGTAACTAAACATAAGATAGCAGAAGTTGCCACTAGCGTCTTACGTTAGCATTGATATAGGGAATAACAGTCTTATTTTACTCTCGTCAGTGGTGGCACAATACCCATCAATATGGTCACGCAGGCAGTATCTACCCTGTCTCTTTTTGCTGTAATGGTTACCACAGAATCAGCGGTCACCATCAGGGCTGTGCCGGACGAGGTTAGCGTGAGGAGAGGTGAACCGTTGGAGTTATCTTGTGGTATCGAATACGAAGCTGCTACAGTCGTCCATACGGTACGATGGTATAGGGGAATTCATTCAGATATATACGGTGAAATTAATGTCGCAACCAGGTGTGGAGCGGTACACTTGGCTTGTCCCGCAGTACATACCACTGACGAGCGTGGGATAATCCGATTTGAAAGAGGTAGGAATAACGATGCAACATTGACGCTGGCCATTGACAGTAGTTCTTTTGCAGACAGCATGACTTTCTATTGTGGCATTATAATAAAAGGAGTTGATGGTGCTCCATTGCATGAGTCCTCAGCCGTATATGTTTCTGTCACTCGTTACACGACCACCGGGGCCAATCCTGCAATCCCAGGCACCACACGGGATGCTGGAACATTGACGAGCACCGTCCCGAATGTTGACGCAACGACGACTACCGCCCCCAAAACTGATACACTAATAAGCACAACAAGGGACGTAAAAACAACGACTGTCACCCCACCCAATCCAACGACCAGTGAAAACGGAGTGCAGACATCCCTAGCTAATCAAAAAAGCACCCAGCAAAGCGAAGGGCCGAGCAGCGCAGAATATTCTCCCAATCTGACAAGCAGTTCACCGGCGAAAGTGGCTCAGCCCACCTTTCCGTCTCCGACCGGGTCTGTAGTATTTGCGACAGCGAGTTTCACAAGACATCAAACTTTACGAGCCTCTACACCATCAGACAGAACAACGCCCTCCTTGATGTCAACAGACCCCGTACCCTCACCCCGCACTTTGCTCCTTGCAGTAGCTGGCGGGGCTGGCGGTGTCATTATCATTCTTCTCGGCATCGTATCGTACCTCGTCGCATCTAGGAAGAAAGCAAACGGGAGAGACAACAGATATACAGACGCGAGCATTTCCCAGGCCACAGTGCCTGACACAAGGAAGACAAACATCCAGGGGACTAGAACTTGGGGTTATCAGTTCCACAAGTCACAAGGCAGACACGAATTGAGCAGTGATACCGCCATCGCACCAGGGGAGTATGGACCAACCGGCCCGTCCTCCCCATCGCCGGCGATCGCCTACGAAGTGGTTCCCTTATTCGGCTTGCGACAGTCGCCACCTCCAGAGGACGCCAGCGATGACAACCTGTGCGATTTCAGATGTACAAAGACATGGAGACAAGACAGGAGTGAAGACACGGCATCGGCAGAGGAAATTGTCGTGAGACACAAGGGTGAGCAAACTTTCGGCAAACTGTGAACCGTAACTGTAACAGCACTTGCTAAAATATCCTTGCTCTCTCCTCCTTTAAACATGGATGCTGACGGAGTAAAAATACGAGGGAAGAAAATCAACGACATGGTGCGCTATAATTCAATGCTGTTGAGATTTTGGTTTCTCACTTCTGTTTTTTTTTTCCGCAGCTCCACTGCGACAAGATCTTTGGGGCAGGGAAAGGACCGCTGACAACCCCAAAGTGAGACGGCCCGGTCCAGCCGGCTCCCCCGCAGTGCCTCGCCGCGATGACTCTGACAGCAGCAGCATTTACGACTGTGACCGGAAGTTCGTGGACAATGTCCTGTACGCGGCATCTTCTGACAGCGCAATCGTCCGTGAGCAAAAATTTGGCCAGAGTGTTTTGAGCTCTCAAAATAAGGTCAAAGGGAAGCCAAGACTTGACCCGTTCTAAAATGTTAGTGGGGAACTTTTTCCTGAAAAATGTAACACTTAATCTGAAAATGCAAACATTTACAAAATGCTTTTGTAACTGCTTAATAACTCCCCTCCCACACTTTTTCGTCCGCTTGTCTCTCAATAACACCATCTGCATATATCTGCATATATAAAATAACTTGAAGCCCACTTGTGGCAAATGAATGTCTATGACAAGTCTGCTAGTCACAAAGTATAAAGCCCCAATTAAAGCGCTTATAGCGTGTTTCATATACCAATTTCTACTCCGGTTAATTGCATGAAAAAGATTGGATATCCCTTTTGCTTCTGTTAAAAAGTGCATTGTTTAATACGCATTTTTTTCTGCAAAATAAGGTACTGTGATGTGTTGTTAGGGAAGGCTCTGTTCTTTTTATGATGGGTTAGTTTTTTTTTAAAGGTTCCAAAAATGTACTTACTGAAAATATATTTGAGAAATTATGGTTTCTGGCCTAGCGTTGTAAACTACTTTAGAATAGAATACTCGTCACTAAAGAAGAGAAGTACTAAGACAATGAATTGTATAAAATTTGGGCGAATTTTGGTGTTGAAAGACATTCAATGTTGAGGTTTGTTCTAGAACGACAACACGCTTTTACTACATGAATTTGCCAAACATGAGCATAAACGGAAAGGACACAAATGCAACCGTGAAAATAGCAAAAGGAAAATGAATCACTGGGTTAAATATCACTGTCGGCGTAAACTAAGGTTAAATATAAAGATGCCTTTATAAGGACTGCATTGTAAAAAAAAGTGAAAAATAGTGACATTGTAAAGCACTCATTCTCGAGAGGCAGTTTGATCTGCTAACAAGCATAATCGAGATTTCTACCTGAAACTAAGAGGCAAGATTTAACAGGATGTAGATGATCTTGTAGATGACGGAACCCAGGATGTTTTTCAAGAGACAGAGCTTTAAACAAACAAAGTTCAGAAATAATAGTTGTTCATTCGTATCAATAATCAAGGTTGCGGAGGGAGATAGAGAGTTCAACTCTCCACCCCCGAGAGAATAAAGATATAGAAATATGAAGATAAAGAAGGCCGTCTCTGTTTTCTTCATCGTTAAGTAAGGGCCTACTGTACCTACTGAGCACTCAAAGGATGACGTGCAGCGTACTTGGTCAATTGTTCAAATGGTGCTTAAGGATGTGGTTTGCGTTTGATGTAGTATATAATGCCAACCTTACACCGATATATATTCATAGCACTGTATGCTTCCTGTTTGTCGGAGAGCTTGCTTACAAGCTGACTCGGGTGTTGCCACACAAAGTACATGTACATCTTCCGAAAGACCTTGCTGTACTTTTTCCCCATTTGTTCTGCAGTTAATATTCCCCCTGTTTAAAATAACACAAACAAACAAACAAACAAAAAAGAAAGAAAAACAAAAGACCAACCAGTCTCTCTTGGATACAAACGAAGGAAGTGGTGTAATGTTGCGGGCAAGTTCCCACGCTCACAGCGGGCAGTTCCCTGGGAAATATAATACATAGCCTATACTGCATTTCTCATCCTGCTTGGGACTAAGCGATCATCTGTGAAAGTGCGTCGACAGAAACTAGTTCCGTTGTTACTTGAACGAGGATGCTGACATTATATCTCATGTGTTGCATGAATGCGGTTCACTTTGCCATTCGCGCGGTTGCGTCGATATAGACTAGTAATACTTATTTGCTCGCAGACAGCCATCTCTAAAGATTCGCTTTTATCTTCATTCCTGGTGGTCCAATAATACAAGCCACATGGTTGCCCAGGCTGTATTTTTCCTCTACCTGTTTGCTGAAATGGTTACAGTGGCAACGGAGGTAACCATTTCGGCCGCGGCAGAGGAGGTTCGCGTCAGAAAAGGTGAACCGTTACAGCTGTCGTGTGATATTAGATATGACCTTTATGCCGATATTGCTGGGGTTAAATGGTTCAAGCACCAAGAAACATATGGAGAGATTTATTTCTGTGCAAGTGGCGACACAGCACAATTGAATTATTCGGAGATAAATACTACAGATGCTCGAGGAGTAATCCGTTATGAAAGAGGTAGGACTAACAGTGCAACACTGATGCTGATAATTCCTAATAGTGAGTTTGAAGATAGTGGACAGTTTGTTTGTATGGTTTCCATAAGGAAGGTTGACACTAGTTTATATCAACGTTCCTCGGCAGTAGATGTATCTGTCACTGCTTGTGCGACGACCGATGTCAGTACTATAATCAGGAGAATATTCTCTGGCAGGAGTAGCTTTCCAGCCACATCTAGGCCTACCAAAGGCGTGGAAGAAGCCACAGTGGCAATGAGTATCAGAGTGGAAGTTCAAACACTGAGCACTGCCCCATCTCATCAAACGACCAGTGATACACGGGCTCATGTGTCAACAGCTTATCAAAGAAGCTCCCAGTATGGCAAAGCCCTACTGGCGACCACTAGTCGTAATCCACCAGATCTCACCACATCCTCTCCATCGACAACAGTGGGCCAGTCCATCTTCTCATCCACATCTACGTCTGCGGCTCTTTCAACAAAGCGTTTCACCAGAAGTCAAACCGAGGGAACTTCAAGCCCCAAAGCCCCGTCTGCCTTGATGTCGACAGACCCCACACCCTTACCCGGCAGGCCCATCCTTATTGCAGTCTCTGCCGCGGCCGGTGGTGTCATCTTCATTCTTCTCGCCGTCGTGGCATGCCTCGTGTCATCGAGGAAGACGGCAAGCGGGGGAGTCACTGGAAACACAAACGTGAGCATTTCCCTGGCCGCAGTATCCGGCAGAAGTGAGACCGGCAGCTACGCAACCAGCTTCTGCAATCACCGAGATTACCAGCAGCCAGGCAGCCGCAGGGCGGGCGGTAACAACGCCGTCGCGCTGGGGTATAACAAGCTGACCGGCTCGCCACCCACATCGCCAACAGCCGCCTACGCCGTGGTTCCAATACCCGGCTTGCAGTTACCATCTCCCCCGACTGAGTACGCTGTACTGGATCCGGATTTCTCGTCACACAGCAGCGATGATGATCACGTGTACGAGTCAACCTTAGCCCAGCAGATGAAGAGGCAAGACAGGAGGGAAGATGAGACATGGGTAAATGGAGTAAACTTCAAACAAAGCGGTAAGCAAACTGGTCTTAGAACATTTTTTTCTCAAGTATGTGGCCAATAAAAATAAGGCAGTTTGATCAATAGCAGAAACCTTCTGGAATGCTACGCCCCGACGTTGCGTACTTGCGCTTCAAGAAAAGTTGCTTATAAAATCATGTGTGTGCGGTTCTTTTGAAGGCCTTGAGATCCAGTTTTGATAAGTAAGATTCACAGCAAACAAAGTTATCTCAATAAATAAAACTGCAAACACTTGGAATGAAAAATACCGGACGTAACGAAAGTGAGCCAATCTAAAAGGGGTCAGCATGTAAATTACGATCAAAATATCAGAACTTAAAGTACAAATTAATCAACACACTTGTACAACCTTAACACTGCATCATCGCGATTTTTTTACTTTATAATGGTGGCAAACCAGTTCAAATGTCGACAACCATAATTTTACGAGATTTCAATGTTTCAGTTAATCTTGCAAGTTTGAATGGAAGGAAATTGCCAAGTCCTAGCGGTTATTATTAATTATTATTTCTTGAACTTTAAATGAGGAAACAGTGAAATTTAATTTTGCATAGCTCTGCTTTCCAAAAGCTCACGAAGTACGCACTACTGTCATTGAACATTGTACATTTCTGTCACGGGACTTTCGTAAGGTCTTTGGCGTGATCCGTTTCAACCAACTTAGTTTGAGCCAAAAATGTCAAAAGTGGCTGGATTGTAGCGCAGAGTTTCAACTTACAGACATACGTTATTCACAGGTTTGGGAGAATTTTCCGCCTTGTTTGCTGCATAGACAAAGGGAGCATACATGAAAAACTTGGTTAGAATTCCAAGAAAGGCGACGTACCCTCCTCCCACACATGTTCTAATGTTCCAATGGCTCTGCAAAGCCCACAGTATCAACAGATAATGTGCAACATGCAAGCAGGAAATCGCCTATCAGATCGGTATCGTAAAGCTACATTCCAAAGAAACGCAATGGCCCAAAATGCATCAGATAAGCCACCGTATCGCGAGAAGCCTGTACATATCCTGTGTACGTGCAGAGCAGGAAGAAACAGATTCACATTCAAAGAAAATGTGGGCAGTTATACTTACATATTTCGGTAGGGTGAAAATGAGCAGGGCCTATCGGATCGTGCCATGAAATTATGAGAAAAATAGTAATAGGCGTATCAGTACATGATTTGACAAAAAGATATGTCTGTCAATGCGAACAAAGTACGCCTTATTATACTAGCCAATTGCAAGGCCCAGCATCAGTCTTGATCACCTAGAGCACACTAGATTTATCGAAGTAGAGTGTGTCTTTCCAGTATTGTTTTCAAGCACGTCTTATTGTCCTGATGTGTTGTGAAAGTGGATTGTGCGTCAGGGTACATGGTCTTTGAACAGAGCCTGTGTACAGAGAGTAAGAGGGATTTCGTCAAATCCTTGAGGCATTTCTTGAAATGAGCACGACCGACGATTTCAAGCTTTCTATATACAGCGTCCTGCTCCTGTTCAGATCAAAATACCACTATGTATATAGGTCTAACCACGTTTGTTTTCTAAATAATTACACAAAATGATAATAATTATAACATATAGTTTTTTTCACAGCACCTTATCTTGTACCCACATCATGTGTAATGATTCGAAATAAAATTGTCGAAGGCGCTTCTTTTGAAGAATAAGAAATTTGATATCAGAGTCATAGACTGTAAAAATGCACCCCCTCCCCATACGAGAATTGTAAGAAGCAAAAATGTTTTCTATGTGTCCTGTTCCTCAACACAGTTGTTGAGCGGCCAGGTGTTAGGGACCGGGAAACACCCGACAGCCAAGCCGAAGTTAGACAGCCCGCACCAGTCGTGTCTTCCGCTGTGCCTTGCGGCCATGACAGCGGCTGCAGCGGGGACTGTGACCGGAAGTTCGTGGACAACATCCTGTACGAGGCGTCCTCGGATAGTGCGATCATCAACGAGCAACGGTTCGGCGCAAGCGTCATGGTCTCCCAGAAGAAAATCAAAGGGAACCCGAGACTTGATCCATTCTAAAGGGGTGGTATGAAACTGTCCTGAAAACTATAAGACAAACCGAAAGGTAAACATATACAAATGCAGGTGTAACTGCATGCCAAAGATTTCAGCTTTTGACATTTACTCGTATAGACTTTGCTTGATCGCAGCGTTTTTCACAATGTCCACGTAGTGCATTATAGTATACCAGACCTGTATCACAAGGATGGCACTGCACATTTTCATGTTAAGCTAGAAATAATTAAACTTAAATGGTATCGTAATCCTGACTAATGGCGTAGTGGAAGGGCCTCGTCCATATTTATCTACCCAAGAACCATAGTGCACCGAAACTATTTATGCACAGTCCGCATTCAGTGCAAATGCCCATCGACGGACCACGCGATTTTAGTTCCAAATTACTTGTTAGGACGGCGTCATTGAACGATTCCACAATCCGAAAGCTGCTTAGGATATATACAACATTAATTTAAAGAGTTTACACCCGCAACTGTGAGTGGGGTCATAATTACCGATAGACCGATATCGATTCGCCCGAGTACAACTGTTTGGCCTCTTACCGTGAACATGCTCATGCAGGTGAAACTTTGCTGGTTTTGAAATGTGTCTATTTTATCAATGTCTTTTCAATGCTGTGTACGTTAGGGTTGCGATCAACGGATGTTTTAGTGTTTGTAGATTGACGAGATAAGTCGGATATGGGCTGAATAGCCGACGTGCTCAATTCAGGAATGGTTTTGTTTTCACCAGTTCTAGGCTCATACATATGTATATATAGCGTAACCTGGATGTATCTTCTCGCTGTGTAATAATTACATTGCGTATTGTATTAAGGTAGGCCTATAGGCGCAGTTACGTGCCGTGAGTGCCGTGCCAACGTCGCACGACACGCGCTGCACTTTGCAGCAGAGACCGGCTGGACCAAGTGCTTGTGATTACATACAGATATTTTTATTCTCGGACGGGTCGGTGCGCTGGATCACACGATTAGGTACTGAATCAACTCTGTTCCTTTACTTGTTATAGCAGAAAACCCATGAGTAAGGGTCTATCTTGGGGTTGGACACGTCGTATGTTCTATGGTCATCCTCCCATTTTGTGGCAAAGTTAGTCCATAGGCGTTGGCTGCAGGTTTTCCTTAAAATGGCCTTTGTTGGGAACGAGGACGCATGCATTATCACACATTCTTATTGGGGTATTATTAAATTATGTTCATAACCCAGTGAAATTTGTCAGTTTTCTGCGATTAGGCCCCGCGGCTTTGAAGAAGGAGTTGTTTCTTTTCTAGATGGACAAGAAATAAATCACCAGGCAAAGCGCTTCATCCTTTGTTTAGTGTTTTGTAGAGTGTCTTTCTTTGCACACTTTCGGAGTAGATGGACCACCAGCCCAGGATAAGCTGGCCATTTAACTATAAAAACTAAGGAATCATTTGTTTGATAAATCGTGAACAGGTTCTTCATTCATTACAGACTTGATGACTTGTGTTGGTCGGGCATTGGTCTGGTGGGTGGGGTCAAGGCGTCCCCACTAGAACGCTGTTCCAATTTTAACTTTCTCTAGAATTCAAACCCTAGATACAGACTTGTTGAGAGGTGATCAGGAAAAACAACAAAGAACTCCGCGTCCTCTGCCCATTTCAGTCAAAGAATCTCCACCTTTTGAGTCGTTTCTCCGGATTCAACCACGTTCCTCCCTCTACTATTGTCCATATTATACAAGAGAACAAAAAGGTTTTACCAATGCTCTGAGCCGTGACATGAATTCGCCCATTGCCAAGCGTTGGCTAACAAAGCACATCTGTATGTACGTGAAAATCTGTATATTTGTACTCATGGCCCAAGCGTTACATCTAATTGTGCAACTCTTCGGCTGGGTGCACACGTATTTTTACGGGGTACGTGCATATCTCAAGTCGCACTCACAGACATGAAATCGTCACCATCGGGAGGATCATGCATGTCTGTCTTCGTTATCTCACAAGTCCAAATGGATTCACGTGTGTGAGTTAGCAGTGGAAATATGCTATATTCAAGTTATCAGATGCTATCGATATGATATGACAGTGCAAAGCCGGGGATTTTTACACCACCACCAACTTAACAAGCTTGTCGAATGGCTAATTTGGAAACCACAGAGCACCGTCTCTTTGAATGAAGACCGCGTTTATAACCTTGGAGCTGCATGCTTACGCGTCGAAACCTCTTGATCACCCAAGGAAGTTATTTCCTTTAGGAACAAACGTTCGTTGAGGACATCGTCTTTGAAGTATTGATCGGTAAGTTTCTAAATGATTTATTTGTTCTGTAATGTTATACATGAATTGTCATATTATTTGAAAAAGTGTTGTTTACAGAGAAAGAGTTTAAGCTAATTTTAATCTGAGAGTAAATTGGCTAAATGCGAAGTTTTAAAATGCAAAAACTTAGTCCTCTGATGGCTTCAAACTCTATGAAAAATTCCCCCTCTTTTTTCCCGTAGAGCAGCAAAGAAAAACCCCCAAAGAGCTAACGGTTCATTTCGATATCCGTAGGCACAGGCTTTACAAGCGTTTTCCGAGGTTACAGAGGAAGAGTTAAAACTGATATCAGTCTGATGTGAATTTTGAAATGAAAAGCACAATGACAAATAATAAAACCATACATTGCAATTAAATAAGTAATAATGATGAAATAAAGATAAAAATGAAAGGAGTGTGTCCAGAAACGAACGTACCGCATTACAAATATGAGTGAAATGAAAGTAGTGTTTCACTTTAAGATATCAACACACAGAATGCCTAAAATGGTGTGCTTAAACGTTCAGAACGTTGTTATTCGATTTCACGACTGTGATTTCTGTCTATCAAGGCAATTCTGATTTGTCAACTTTTAAGAATGTACATTATTTTACACATTGTTAAGAAAAATCGACACTCTTCTGAATAGCGAGTAGTTTAATAAAGGAAAGAAGTATTCTACAAGTACAGTAGCTTAAACGGGAAAATCAAGATTTTTTATCGTTTAACTACCCATGTGAAGAGCAATTTTATGTCATTAGATACTTGTGGTGATGTAAATGTGCATAATATTATGCTATGTCGACCAGTGGTGAAATTTGGGATGGGGGATGGGGAAAGGTGAGGTGACTTGCCCGGTCATGAAAATGTTCAAAGCGGGGCGGGGGAGCACCATGTGACTCGATTATAGAAGTCGATGTTCATGGTATTGATGTACATCAGTTTCTGTGTATTCAGAAGGTATTTTTGATATTTTTCATTGTTTTTCCTTTTTGAGTGATACCGAATGCATTTTAGTCATTCGCAGTCTGAAAATGTTTTCAGTTTTTGCTTACCAGAAAAACGTAAGGGGGTGATTCATTATCCCATCCCCACCTCAAAAGCGGGAGATAACCCCCCCCCCCGGCATTTACGCCCGTAATGTAGGTGCAAATGTTTGCTAAAGTTCAGGATACTACACTGAAATGTCCCGCTGCTTTATGATTCGTCAATGTTGCATCGCAGAGGGCCAGTGTGCAGGGTTTCCTCACAAGACTTTTTGCAGTGCAGAAATTGTGGGTTGGCAGGTTTCCCTCTTCAGTCGAAATGACTTGATGAAAATGACGTCAGGGCAACTGCAGCTCCCGCAAGAAAGTACACTTTATCCAAAGGAATGTCTCGTCTTCTTGGCATAAGAGGAACAAAAAAGCGTCACAAATTCAACGTTCAATTCATGTCATGAGCATTTCATGAAATGAAACCTCTGCGGTGAAAGATCAGCTTGAGAAGTGGAAAAAAAAGCTATCGAGCAATTACTGAGGTAGTCGAATCGTTCCATAATCATTAAACAGTGGGGGCGATGATCGGTCAGACCTATTACCAATTTGAAAATGGAATAATTAAAGTGAAAATAAGAGTAATAACATCCTTTTATATCCAATTTCTTTCAGTGTTCATAGTGCATAGTATTGTGACGTCTTACCCTTTCCCCTTGTGGCCTCTTGGATTTTTCATGGCCATAAGCATCTAAGGTTTTGTGTTTGGCTATAACAATTAAGCAAACCTACCACCGAATTCGGGGATACGTGTAAAAGAATCGGATACTTCAATACCTGTAAAAATCAAGGTGCGTATGTCTGAAAGCATAAGTACCACCAGGAATCCGCCTCGAGCAGAAGCACCCCTTCATCGGTTGAAAAGAGCTGCGTTGGTCGGGAGTGTTCAATTTGTTGCAAATTGACCAAAGTTGCCTCCCTTGCTAAGAAAATAGCGCCCTCTCTCTGTAGTGCTCGAAACCCATAGTGCGTGTGCCTATGCAAACCACGGGTGTGTAACAACTGTTCCCATTAAAGTGTGTGCTAGTGACTTCGCACACAGTATTTCACAGCGCAACCGCACACGGGGGCAGCTGCCGTGCGCTTATGCATGGGGCCTTGTGGGGTACCGGAACAATGGGAAGTACCCCATAAGGCCAGTTTTTCAACCTTGTGGGGTACTAAAATTGGTACCCCACAAGAATTTCACGAAACTGACATTTGGAAATAACTCAAAGAGGGAAAAGTTTTGATGGGTAAAAATCAGTCGCAAATTGGAGCGTTTTATGTAAGGGACACACGGTCGAAATTTCATCCAGGAAAGTGAATTTGGTTTAAATTGGAGTCATTACTGGACCGAGCCC